TGGCAACCAAGTTGTTGCAAAGCTTTTGATATGATTTGCATGGCATACACCCAAGACTATTAGACAGGATAAGAAAAGTGCTAGGTATGAAATCGTGCCTGTCTATATTTCTGTTAGTATTAAATTGCTGCTAGCAGAAAGTAATGAGAAATGTATCACTAAATCTGTTACACCTCAAACTGTCTTTCATCTGAATCTCAAGTAATCTTGTTTTATTTTGTATGAATGTACACATTTGCATTTTTCTACTGCTGTGCTACTGTGGCATAAAATTTGATTGCCATGACTAAATCAGGAATATTTCAGTGGACTAACACTAAAATATTTATGTGTGACAGAAATATACATAGAAGTAAATGTTTTAATTATTATTTGTAAAGCTTAACTGAGATATTAAAATGGTATATAAGCATTGGTGTAAGTAAAGTCTGTTTAATTTTCATATATCAAATTCAAATATACTACAGGTAGTCCTCAACTTATGACCATTTGTTAATGACCATTCAAAGTTATGATGGTGATCTCATTATAAAAAGCTCCACTGGACTTCATAAACAATTAAAAGTACCAGCCCTTACCAACATTTTTCTTGTCTCAGAATCCCATGATGAGTATCTTGATACAGCACTAAAATGTATACTGTAAAATTGAGAGTAGTAGTGAAGCATACAAGGGTGCTGAGAGGTTCTGAATGTGAGACAGACTGTTTCTTGGTAATGTCAAGAGTGGATCTAGGGGAAAAATAGACATGGATGAAAAGGAAAGAGATAAAAAAGCTAGAGTGAAAACAGAATATCTGTAGGAAGAAAAAGTACATCCTCTGTGAAAAAGTTATACAAAAGAAGGAATGGAAAGTGGCCATAAAGAAATATTTTGGAAGCTGCTGGGAAGAGAGTGCCAAATTATGTTACAGAGTGCCACAGAAGTGTGTGGAATTATGATAATGGGAAATATGTAAAAAGATGTTGGAAGGAATGATGAAGTGAAAGGATCTGCAGATTAGAAAAATGCATACAAGAGAATGATTGCTGCAAAAAATGACAATGAGAAAAAGACATTGTATAGTGTGTATAGAGAAAGGTTGTTGCAAATAATGTCATTAAAGAGAGCAAGGAATTCATGGAATCATAGAATCATAGGGTTGGAAGGGACCTTGGAGATCTTTTAGCCCAACCCCCTACCCAAGGCAGGAGTCCTCATACCCTGTTACCAACTCTTAAAATTAAAAGAGGTAGAGAAAATGCAGAGTGATTTTGAAGGAAGTAAACATTTGCTTTGGAAGTGGGTAAAGAGAGCTAAACAAGGAAACTCCACCAGAGCAAGTAGAGTTCTGTTAAAAACAGAAGTGATGAACTTTTACTGAAGTTGAAATAAAATGATTTCAAAATTACATTAAGAGAACTGTAATACTACAACAACAACAACAACAACAACAACAACAACAACAATTGTTTTATGCATACATTTAAATGAAACTCGGTTGGCATTATTTTAAAGTTACATATTGTCCAGGCATATTCGTCTATGGTACCATGGTGGCAGTAAATCAAGCTGGCCTGTGGTTGAAAAGAAATACTTTGTATTCACATTTTCCAGTATCTGAAGCACTGAAAACAGTATTTTTGCAATACTGTTTCTACAAAAGGGTGCTAAAATCACTTTTCAAGACACATGGCACCATTAACAAGTACAAAGTAGACTAAAGAAAAGCAAACTGAGTATGAAAAGAAAATAGACTGTATGTTTGGAAATGGGAAACAGTGATAGGAAAATATGAATAATGACCATGTCTTTTAAAATTGGAGACATATGTGCAGTACCAGCAATATGTACATGTTTATTTAAAAGCAAATAATACTGAAAAGAATTAATATTAAAGTAGCAATAACTGTGAAAAGTATTGTAAAACCACCTGCATATCTATGAAAAGAAGGAAGAAAGAACATCAGTGGTGATTCAGATCAGTTTAAGAGGTAAATGAGTGATACCATTCACAAAACAGCAATTTATACTCACTTGTTTCAAAAATTCTATATTTCTGTCTCTGATCTTTCCTCTCACTATTCCTTCCTCTCTTTTCTTCTCTCCCACCAACTCTCTCTCTCAAATACATATTTGTCTCTCAAGACAATTCTACATGCAATTGATTAACTTGTCTGTGATCCAAGAAAGTTTATGGGACAGCAAATTTGTTATTTTTTAAGCTGATGTTGCCTTGGGTTACCCTGAATAAAAGGAGAAGTATAAATCTAACAAACAAACATTTGTGTTGGTTTTGCTGCAAAAGACAGCCACAGTTGCCATCCTATCATCTTATGGTAACAAAAAATCAAAAGCACTAAAAGAAAAGAATAAGAATAAATAAATGGTATGAAGGTAAACTTGTAAGAATGCTACCCACTTACAAGTCCAGGGAAGATAAGTCAACGTATATCATAACTTCATCTTGTGCAGCAACCGTCATTCTACTTTACTATTTTCCACACTATAGACAATCTCGCTGTAATCACTGTATACTGGAAATTCTACTTTGTCTACTTTTATGTAAGTATTGCTATCTATAATTTCTACTATATAGGCAGAATCTTTGATTGCCTTGATTGTCTACTGTAGCATTGTAATTTCTCCCATTTTTGTAGAGTTGGAAGATAGATATATAAGACAGTTTTAAGAGAAGAGTGGGAGCTATCTTGGGGGTTATCTGTTCTTCTGGATAATCAGTAAAAAATCCAAGGTTGTCCAGAGCCAGCATCACTTGCCATCAGCCTTGTTACATCTCTGGAGGGTCATACACCCACTTACCCCTCCTCATTTCTGTGTTTATTGATTCCTTCAAATACATTCCCATAACACAAAGATACGGAATTACTATTCTATATAAGGAGAGCTCGAACCCCACACAATCAGCCTTTCCTCTTCTGAGAGTATGACTGGAAAAGATGCATGATTTAATATTGATATCACTGATAGATTTATTTATTTATTTTCAAATTTGTATGCCGCCCATCTCCCCCAATGGGTGACTCTGGGCAGCTCACAATAATAAAAAAGAAGAAAAGTTTTATGAGAAACTTATGAGGAACATAAAACTCAGTTTTATGAGAAACTGAACCAATGTGCTTATAGGTTATATCCTATCTTTAGTATGATCAATTCTTACTGCTAAAAATCCTTCATGATGTTATTATTCGTATCATTTTATCATCTGTAGCAAATAAAAGCAACTTGATGTTAACAATAGAAAAGTAAATAGACATGGAAGCCATTTGTTGAATACCTATGATCACTTATTAATGAATATATGGTTACTTTTGATATTTGAGAATTCTTTATTGTGTTTATTGCAAAGGGGGAGGTGAGGAAGAGAGAAAGAGAGAGAGAGAGAGCAAGCAAGATTGTTAACAAAGTATTTCCAGGTTTGTTCCCTATTTATCTCTGACTCGTATGCCATTTCAGCATTCCTCATTTTCACTTTTTCACTTAAAGTGAAAATGATACAGCTTCATTTTAAGTGAAAAAGTGAAAATGATACAGCTTCATTTTTCTCTGTACCATTTTAAATGCTTGTTACAGTTTTGCTCCCTCATGGCCCCATCACCACAAATTTAAATGATTAATTGCAACACTTTTTTCAATGCACATTTGGTTTTCTGACATTCCTACTACAGGAAAGACAGATGCAAAGGATTGAGCTCTTGCATAATTTACTGCTGAGCCAAAGGCAGAATCTCAACAGATGTAACTATTCTCACCCCTCCATTACAAACTATACATGCCAAAAATCCTTCCTCCAAACAGCTTCCTTCAGAGTTAAGAATTAGAGGTATTGGCTGCATCCACACATCATATTAAACTTGGTTATTTTTTACCTTACTTTATTTAATTAACCCATCTCCCTGGATTTGTACAGCAGATTGCACCACAAACCGAACACATTAGCTAAGTTCACACAACATACAAAACAACAAATCCTAGCCAAACTAGTTTAGCTGTGCAAATGGTTCGGTTCCTATCGAATGCTTGCTTCGTTAGGTGACCCAGGAAAGTTATTTTTCTAGTCTTGGGATTATATTAAGAGGCTGTACAGGGTTCTAATTTATCTCTTTCATTTCTGGTTGGCATGTTAATAAAGCCATGTTTACTTTACATTTAGCTTTTGGCATGTTATATGAACTCTGCCATGGTGTTTAACATCCCTATGAAACCAGTAGGGAAGTTCATGTAAACTGGAGTGTGTCTGACACCTATCTGACACGTATCTGACTTCTCTCTTTTTTAAGAAGTACAGATGAGACCATGGAAGGCTGGACCATAAAAAAGGGAGAACCAGGAAAAGTGTTTGCCTGTGAATTTTGATGTTGGAAAAATGTTGTGAATTCCTTGGACCATAAGATGAAAATGCAATTCAGTACTTGATAATGTTAAAGTATACTGCTCACTGGATTGCTAATAATTTGAACACCTAAGAAGAAAGCAAGGGATGCTGGAGAAGACCCTTATGCTTGGAAAAACCCAAGGCAACAGAAAAATAGGCAACAACATTCCTGCATAATTCCTCCTCCAACTATTTATAATACAGTATTTTTTCAAGGCTTCAAAAAGACCTCCTGCACCCTTTACACATTTTTGTTGCAGTAAATGGGAAACACTACATTAATTTCTGTTTCTAATTTGATTCTAGTTTTAACTGTTTGAGTTGTTGTATCTAGTTTTTTTTTTAATTAAAAAAAAAGAATTATTTTTGGATTGCCCGGGTGCTACTACATTTTGAAAGTCCTCCCAAGAACCATTTGCTAAGCCAGCACTTTTCTCCTCCGTCAATTCCAGCAGGGAACGGAGGGCGTGCACGCGCCTGGACCGACGAAGGCAGGCGGGCGTTTTGTTTGGCTTTTCTCGCCAGCGATGGGCGGGAGAAAGGGAGGCGGGAGGGAAAGGAAAGGAAAGGAAGCGGGAGTTGTTCGCCGGCGCTCAGGCGGCAAGAGGCGAGCGATGACCTCGCGGGTTGCTCCTTCCCTCTCTTGAGAGAAACGCAATTTTGGTGGAGGAGATTCTTTTGGCGGAAGAAATTCGGGAAGTCGACCAAACAATCTCAGGGGGTGCGCGCGGAAGTTTTCCCCGAGCCTGTCCTGTCAGCGGTGGGGCAGCGGCAGATGCTTCCAGTTTGCCAGCTGCTGGCAGGCGAGAGCTCCGTTGCTGCGTTTCCTAGCTTAGGATGAATCGGGGAGCGGTCAGTGTTGGTGGCTGGAAGCTGCCGGGCGAGTCGGGCATGGTTTAAGATCGCCGGGACCACCCCGACGCCTCCTCTCCCGTGCCACCGTGGACACTCCCGGGAACCGTTTGCCATGGGCTCTCCTTCACTCCACCACCTCCTCTTTGGGAAGACTTCTTGAGTCCTAACTTCTCCTCCCACCGCAGGAACCTTCTGTCCTAGAGACGCAGAAGGGACGTGCAGCGTTTAACTCGGCTCTGCCGAGGGAAGATGCGAGTCGGGGGGTTGCTGGCCGGCTTCTCCGTGCTCAGCCTCCTCACTCAAGGCTACCTAGCGCGGGAAACGGTAGAAGACCCCGGGAAACCGGACGGGGCAGCCAAGTTGGAAGAAGACTTCGAGACACGACCTTCCTCTTTCCAGCCGCACCTCATCTTCATTCTGGCGGACGACCAGGGCTTCAGAGACGTTGGTTACCATGGCTCAGAGATCAGGACGCCCACCCTGGATAAACTGGCCGCAGAGGGAGTTAAGCTAGAGAATTATTATGTCCAACCAATGTGCACGCCGTCCAGGAGTCAGTTCATCACTGGAAGGTATGTGTGTGTCTGCGTGTCTGTCTGCGTGTGTGTGCGCGCGCGCGCGCGCTCTTGGTCATTAACTTCATCGCAGTGACTTGATCTGAAAAAGCATGTTTATTTTATTTAGTTAATAGATTAGCCTTTAAAAAACTAAGTGTGGCACATATGTATGCTTATGGGCTCTTTTATTTCTCAAGCAGCCTCTAAAACCATTTTACACAACACAAATTTGTGGACATCCTAAACATTAATTTAGCACAATTCTAAATATGACTGCTCAGAATAAAGTCCCATTGAGTTCAATGGGTGGGCTGATTTCCAGGTAAATGGGAATCTTATTTTGCTCAGGAGAGAATCTGATGAAGCCATTTTCTCTTTAAAGCATCACAACACATTGTTAGTATTTGTTACAGACTAACATACCACACCTGGAAGCAGGGGGTTAATGGGAACACAAATCAGTAGCTTTATTCTGTTAAATCGATTCTTTCTTAGGTAGGTGTTGGGACTTAAAATTACTCATTACATAATATTTGGATAGCACCTAATTTACATAGATGTAGTTCAATCTTTTTGTCATTCTGTTCATGTGAATAATATCAGCTAGATAGCATTGTTCTTTATTTTTTTAAAACAATCTTTATTTTTAGAAAGTACAAAATATAAGAAAATTACTACAGTATACAACAATAAAAACATTAAACTAAACAATCCATAAAATAAAAAGAAATCAAAAAAGAAATAAAACCAGAAGAAACCTACCTTATATATTAAATTTATAGTCACTAGCTTACAAAAAATACCATATAATACTACATTATAATTAGATAGAAAATATTATTGTAAAATATCATAAAATCTATGCCAAAGAAGGACATATTTTTCATCCTTTGATTAGTACAAAATATTGGCTTTTCCAGGATAGATAAGTTACACATTTCCAAAGCCAGTCTTTACTATCTGGAATAATATCACTTTTCCAGTTTCTCAGTGGGATCACTTTAGCCACCATCATGCATGGTTCAACCATAATTCCTCATAGACAGGTATTCCAGAGCTTTGGTATGTAACTGAAGATCACATTAATATCTTTAACATTTAAAGATTTCCCATAAAACTACTTATATACATTAAAATACAATTCCCCAAAAAGTGTCAAAGATTCACAGGACCATATCATATGGGTCAATAACTCTCAATTTTTTAACATCTCCAACAGAAAAAATCTGATGTCCATCCTTTAGAGTACATCCTTTGGGGAGTCCAGCACACTCTAAACACATTTTTTGATTAGTCAATCTTAAAGGAAATCAACCCTGATTGCTCATTGGAAGGATTGATAATGAAGCTCAAGCTCAGATACTTTGGTCACCTAATGCGAAGAGAGGACTCTTTGGAAAAGACCCTGATGCTGGGAAAGATTGAAGGCAAAAGGAGAAGAGGATAGTAGAGGATGAGATGGTTAGATAGCATCACTGAAGCAATGAGCATGAAACTGAGCACTCAGGGAGGCAGTGAAGGACAGGAAGGCCTGGCGCAATAGATTGCTCATTGGAAGGATTGATAATGAAGCTCAAGCTCAGATACTTTGGTCACCTAATGCGAAGAGAGGACTCTTTGGAAAAGACCCTGATGCTGGGAAAGATTGAAGGCAAAAGGAGAAGAGGATAGTAGAGGATGAGATGGTTAGATAGGATCACTGAAGCAATGAGCATGAAACTGAGCACTCAGGGAGGCAGTGAAGGACAGGAAGGCCTGGCGCAATATGGTTCATGGAGTCACGAAGAGTTAGACATGACTTAATGACTGAACAACAACAACAAAATCTCAAATCTATCAATACCATTTAAACATTTTTTAAGAACATGAAGCTATTGATGGGGCAATATTGGAGATTCCAGTTATTTAGTCCATGTTTGATATATTCCAGTAGTATCTGCTTTAACAATATCCTTGAACTTTTGATAATGATATGTTGAGGCTTTAACTTCTGTCATGGATTCCATCAAATAGGAAAACATCACAGGTGCCCTTGAGGCGGCCAATGTTTCTGGACAAAATGAGCCATTAAATGTGTTTAAGTTGAAAATACTGCCACTATTGTGAGCTTGGAATACCCAATTCACTTTGAAGTCAGGAAAAATCCTTAAAATAATCATTACATAAGAATTTATTTAAAGTCGCTATCCTGGCTTCACCGATACTTTCTAATAAAAGATTTTACCACCTATTTTTAAAGTAGAATTTTTCCAAAGAGTTAAAGATTCATGAGTCTCATTATCAAAACCCAGTTTGCACCCCAATATGGCCCAAAGATGGAAATAAGTCACCTTTTCTACTATACTGTATGTTCTAAGAACTTACCGTGACTGCAGAAGGTATAAATAATAATTTTCTAACAAAGCCTATAAAGGATGATGATGATGCACTAAAATTTCACTCCACATACTTATGGCTGATATAATCTAAGCCCAATTATATTTTGCAAATCAGATAAATTAAAACCACCCTCCTCAAATTGTAATCTCAGTTTAGCTAATAGCCTTGGTGGGCTACAATCCCAAATAAATTTCCTAAGTAATCTATCAATGTGAAGAAAATATTTATTTGCTGTTACACTGGGATACTTTTAAGTACATAAATCAGATAAGGGACAATATTCATTTTAATAAAATCAATTTTACCCCTAGGACATAATGGGATTTTAATCTGTCTATTTACATTGAATTAATTTTTTCTAAAAGTTTCAACATACTTATTTCCACATATTTAGAATTATTTTGGGGAATATAAAGCCCCAATTATTGAATATGATCAGTGGAAATCACAAAACTCAACTCTTTACATTCTTTACATATCTGTATTGATATGTTAGAGCTAAGGGAAGTGAGCAAGATTTATCCCAGTTAATCTTATAGCCAGAGTATTTTCTGAAATACTATACGACCGGTATAAACGTAGAGAGGTACTTATACAAAATTGCCAAAGTATCATTGGAATATAAAAGTAATATGCACTCAATCCTACCAAAGTAATGCCCACACTGTCAAAGATTGCCTTACTACTAGTTAAAGGATCAGATTAAAAAGTAAGCGTGAAACTGGGCAGCCAAGTACCACATTGTTACTCAAAGGAGATTAAAATTATTTTATTTCTGATGACTCTAGTGTAGAGTTGCAAATTATAAATCTTAATCCAATGAACAAAATCCCTTAGAAAGCCATGCCTAATCACTTGCTTTGAAAATTTAATCCAAACAAAATCAAAGGCTTTTTCTGCAACTAAAGATACTAGTACAGCAAAGTCCATTCTGTCTTTAGCTATAGCTAATCAATCTATTAATACACGTAAATTGTCTGATGCTTGTTGATTTTTTTATAAGCCTGACTGGTAGAGGTGGTTACCTTCTGCAACCACCTACCCAATAAAGTTGTTAAAATCTTACTATCCACATTAATTAGTGAAATAGGCTAGTGTATAATTTCGAATCTTTACCTGGCTATAAAATCAACCTTAGATATACCTTGTAGAACAATAACATCATTCCTGACCTGATTTTATTAATCCTAATCTCTCTTCCTTAGAAGGAAGGATAAATCAGGGCCTTTGTACCAGAAGGTTTTCATTTTCAAAGTCAAATAAAAGTTTCAAGTGAATGAATGAAGGCTAAGGTTGTTCCACTTTGTTATCATCTTCAGATCTTAACTCCTATTTGCAAATAGTCAGAATATCACTCATACGCTAAAATTTGTGGTTGTGAAAGACTGTTGAAAAAAAATCCCTGTAGTCCAGGCATGTTGTAGTAGAAATTAATGAAAACTTAATCAGATATTTTAATATGCTTGCCATTCCTTTGCAATATTATATGCATGTTCATGTTACTGTCATCATAAAAAATGGATTAAAAGTTCTTATTTATGTTATTTTGTATTATATAAAACCATACTATTACCATAAAACCATACTGATATAAAAAAGTATGTTCATTAAAACACTTCATAATTTACAGTCCCAAAAGCAAAAACAATTGATTCTGATTTTGTGAATTCTGCAATGTACAGTATCTCTTTTCTCTTGTATATAATCCTGTGTTAGTGGCATTCTAATTTATGACAAGTTATTATTATAGGTGTATTATTGTCATGTCTTTTGGATAAATGTTTGCATGTTGTAGTTTGTGGTTTCTGACTTAGAGAAGTTAGAAATTCATTCCCATTGTCATTGGAACAATTAAAAGTATGCTCTCTGTTGGAATTAATGTGCAATCTGTTGTACAATTTTCATCATTCATTCTGACAGTGATGCACAGATGTCCTGTTTGAATGATATGCTTAACTGAATCATATTGTATGAAATCAAAATAGAGTTAATTTACTTAGCAAATTTAAATCCAGATTTGTTCGGCGCTATACTAATCACACATACCACTTCTCAGTAAATTTAGTCTTTTGTCCATATTATGCGAAGTACTTATCTGAAGATTAATGGGAACTTCCAATGTCCATAATTGAGACAAAATTCTAGGCACTCTGTTTCTGTGATAGTTTTAGTTTTACACACCTATAGCCATACTGGGGGAGGGGGCAGGAATGAGCGATGGACAGATATGACAAGGGGAAGTCCAGCCCCCTTGAAACCCTGACTGTGGTAGTAGGAATTCCAACTGCAAAATTGATTTAATTAAAAAAAAAGGCTTCATCAAAATATAAATATATATAATGTCAGGAAATGGGCAATGCATGATTGTCCAATATGTTCCAGTTTATGTTATAATAAAATCTGGCATATGAGGGGCTGTTTTCCTGAACCGTTTCCAAATAAATCATCCATCTTACTCACAAATGAATTAAAATAAAGGTTAAGTCATTGCTTCATTACATTTACTATATCATTCATGCACACATATTTTGAAAGATTTGTTCTTAATACTAAAATGCTGTACCATTGCAAAAGTCTGTTTCAATGAAAATGTTATCCCAGTGCACATGTAGAGAAAATTAACATGGTGCATATATTTATAAATCCACATTTTCTTACATTAGCATCAGCAAGGTTCTTTTAAATTTAAACAGGAAGGCATTTCTACTTGTGTTGGAATAGCTGGGAAAAAAGTGAGATACAGAGATAGTGAGGCACTAGTTCAGCAGATCAGATTTCCCATTCAGATTCTGCTTCTTCAGGGCTGCATGATCATTATTATGGAGTGCTTTACTCTAGTGATGAACTGTCCCTGTTAAAATTAAAGAAACAACATCACCAGGGCTCAGAAGAGGACAAAGTAACTGAGAGTCATAGAAATGAAGATGGCCAGTCTAACTTGCTAACCATAAAGCACACATTGTTTAAATTAGACGAGAAAGCTAAAACAAATAGAGTGGGGAAGGGAGATTGTGCTTTTAAAACTAATCTATTCTGTGGATGATTATAAAAACCCAACTACTATGCTTTCAGAAATCATTTTAAAAACCCTGAAATTTGCCTTAAATTTCATTCTGACCGACTGACCGACTTTCTCTTTCTTTCTTTCTTTCTTTCTTTCTTTCTTTCTTTCTTTCTTT